AGTTTATGTGGAGGTGGTTTATGTAATTTGATATTTTTTCCGAACATATGATGGTATTGGGCCAATTTCAATATGATTCAAAAATAAAATCTAGGCCTACATACATTTGCAAATTATTTTCGTTTTTTATGTTTTTAAATTTTTTTAAAGATTTTTTTATTTGTTATCAAATTTGGGCTATCTTTAAAAATAAAAACAAAATCTTAATCCGTTATTAAATGCTATGCCTAAACCATGGTGTTTATACCGTGTGAGTAAAAGGGTGTAGAGGCAAAATCCCCTCCACAATTTATGAGGGGTCGGCTAAACATGGCCAGCTCCTTCGCGATGAAGACATACCGGCGCATTGTCTGATATCAAGGCATTTCTTCGAACCGGAGGGGGGGGGGGGGAGCGAACACCTTGTTCAATGCTGGATACGCCAGTGAACAATCATTGTAAAAAAAAAAAAAAAAAAAAAAAAAAAACGTTTATAAATATTAGGTACTAAAGTAGCCTTACACTATATATGAGCACAAACTCAAAGTCAACCAAGCTAGTGAGCGATTACATAAAATATGTCACACTTTGATCCATTTATTTCATCGAATTAAAGGAAAACTTTTATTGATATTAGCATTAAAATGAAAGTGATACCAATAAAGACCATTAGTCAATAATTATCACATGATGACGTGTTTATGTTTTAAATGAAATATATGAATAACAGACCTATTTTGTACGGGAAATATATCACGAGGTCCCCCTCGTGGACAATGTAAAATGACAGGTTTGCAACACTGGGATATGCATCAGAGCAAACCACATCGCAAATTAAAGTGACATTGCTTCAGATTCTGAAACAAAATCCTGGATTTAGCTCATGCTGCAATCGTAAATATAAACCTGTAGGTCAGTCAATCCCATGACTTTTACAAGCCGATCGCCTGTCTGATTATCAAGATATTTATGATTGGAAATCGAAATTCCATTTTTCGTTTTCCAAAAGGATTTTAATACTACAGTCTATTGGGGAAAATGAGCATGGTAAAACCGGTCACTCAAAGATTTTTACTTTTTTAGGCACTTCATGAACATTTTGAAGCGCAATTTTTAATTGGGCTTCAATATTTATCACAGACATTGATAAAACGTAGGGCCATGCATCTCAGATTATTATAGCATTGCTAAATGATGCCTTTAACAACAAAGAAAGCAAATCTTAATTTCTCCATATGAAGGAAGAAAATGTTTACTTGTACTGCAGATTATCTGCCTTCCCTAACTGTCAGCTTAGAAGAAGGATATAGGGATGGGGGAGAGGTAGGTCTATTACCAAGAAGGAAATAAAGCAGATGTATTTAGCATGGCTGTTCAGCGAGCGTATCAAGGGAGCATTATAGGTTAATAATGATATACATCTGTGTTCCCCATATCTAATAGATTCAACACACATTAATTAATCAGTGCTGAACGCAGGCCATGAATCGTCTTCTAGCTCGGAAGCAGTTTAGGTGTGTCTCTCGTCCACAGTGGATTTATATAGTGTGACATTTTCATTGCATCTTAAAGCCCCTCTAAAGTGTTGGGAGCCCCGAATTCGCCGAAAATTTGATGGCAACATTTCACTTAAATTGTATCATAATCAATGTGAAAGCGGATGTCATTTAAGACACACTGTCTTCTGCAAAGATCTTCTCCCTCCCCCGAAAAAAAATCTTGATAAAAAATACATAATTTGTTTTTCTGTTGTACGCAGAAAACCTAAATTTTGTATTTTGTTTTGAAGATCCTTGCAGAAATGTGTCTTAAATGACATCCTCTTTCACATTATGATACAATTTAGGTGAAATTTTGCCGTCAAATTTTTTGGGCTCCCAATACTTTAGAGGGGCTTTGAAGGCAAAAGATTATGTCTCCAGTCTCTATGTGGCTCATGAAGAGAAAGTCAGAATAAATGTTGTGTGAGATTTGGGGGGATACTTTTTCCTGAGAGATAACATAATTATCATTAGTTTATCGTGTCGTATAGGCCTAACATCAAGAAAGAAGCAATGTTTCAGAGTCTCTACTCTCGGATTTGTTTCAAGAAATAACGATTATGCATGTAGGAATATAGTGTTAATTAAAGCTTGCAAAGAATTTTTTCTCTTCATTTTGTGACATTTATTTAAATGCGTACAGAATTGACGCGAATAACGACAACATTTGCGTGCATTGTCCTGTTATATACAATCATATGCGAAAACAGTTAAGTTGGCAACGTTAACAGCAAGACCCAGCAACTATCTGGAAAGAGATCCTCGTTAAGAGCTATTTGATGGGGTATATTTCATTTCCCCCAAAACGTTATTTGATCATATTGATACGTCATACATTGCTTTAAAAGTGAATTGGAACGGGTTTAATCGATGAAAATCGAAACGGCGCGGCAAGGGAAAGAGTATTACGAGTGATGTTTGTCAATATTCTAAGCCGAGTAGAATATCTGATAAAATGACGTATACAACCATGAAAATGTAAGGTAAGGTGAAGTTTACCTAGTGTTGAGTAAAAGGGAACATACCCTTTTTTTAGGGGGGGGGGGTAAAACTGTGTTCAATATTGGGCAAATGTTATGTAATTTTGAGTACCTTTTACTCAATGTTAGGTGAAATTTCACATATCAAAATGCATATTCCCTTTTTTTTTAATTATCCAGTATCGGGTGGAATTGTACCCGATTTCTTTTAGAGTTCTACTTGGAGAGCATATAATTATTCTGTTTTTATTTACTAATGTAAAGCGCTTTGAGCATGTTTATGTAAAGGCGCTATATAAATATCAATATGTATGTATGTATGTATGTATGATAGTACAACTCATTGGACTGATAAAAATCAAACATATTTCGAGGACTAATTAATACGAGAGAAATGATTAGGCGCTGATAGAAGAATGTGAAAGTAAAAGGACTTGAACGTCTTGAATCTTATATTACGAATAACAAAAAGTAAAAATTTTCGCCTTTGTCATGCTAGAAGTGGATGATAAGAGATCTTGGGGGTGTTTTCACAAAGATCCCAAGTTGAACTTATCTTTAAGTTGGACTTAACAATTATGGAAAGCCGTTACCATCTTTGAAAATATTTTGTAAAAGGCATACAATTTTGATTTTCTAATCATTCATATTTTCTTTAATCAAGGAGATTTCATGTTCTTGGTGTGGAATTCATGAAAAGTCTAAAATACTTGAATTTGTGGTTTTGAATATATTTTAAGGCTACAAATGGCTCTTCATAATGTTTAAGTCTCTTCATAATGTTTAAGTCCAACTAAGAGTTAAGTTCGACTTAAGATCTTTGTGAAACACCCCCCCCCCCAGAAATACAACCTGAAGACTAATGAAAATGATAGTTGGTGGTTACAGTTTCTTCAATTGGCATTTCCTTTCAAATATTTGGCCTATTTCAGTTTCGGTGCCTGCCATGATGTGCCATCTGAAAACAATATTAAAACAAAAACTCGAGGTTACGAATACGTCGTATAACCTAGTAACTGAAAGTGAATTTCTCCACCATTAGAAAGAGGAATTTGACACCATATAAGTACTTTGAAGCACCGTCACCATCTTTTGATAATGAAACTGCATTTTATTCGAAGAACAAAAAAAAAGATATTTTGAATAGCTGATTATGTAGGTCAATGCCGTAGTTAAAAACATGAACGTGATGAGCAAACATGAGAAATTGAATGAAAAATGTCTTTTTAGCTGGAAAGGTTGTGCATACAGTGGATAATTTATTTGTATTAACTTTTCTTTTCAAATTTCTCAGCTTTTCTATAAGCCTTATGTCTTCATAAAGACATTATGTTATTATGGCAGCCCCCTCCCTCTACAAAAAATCCCAATAACAAGCAAACAAACGAACGCTTTTAATGCAAGCAGTTCAATACTATTTTCCGAAATTTGTCTCCGTTCGGGGGTATCTTGATCTTTAACAAGATACCCTCGAACGGTACAATACAGGGATGTACAAGGAAATTATAAACACTGTCTTTTCCCTTCCGAAGGACTGATGTTCATCTTGAAAGTATACTTGGTTCATTTATCAGAGTGGATTGGTTCACAAGCTTCGAGAATCATCATGAAACCGAAAACAAAGTGATTAAACTTTGTATATATTTGAAAGACAGTCTTAATACATGTAGTAAGATTAATTGTTGTTTGTGATTCATTTCCGGTGTAAAAGTTCAACCTACGAAAAGACTAAACTGAATGGAAAAGCAATTTAAAGTAATATTAACTGTTTTCATTTTCATTTATTTTCTGGCGGGGATCTAGGAGTGAGTTGTATAATATTGTGTTATCCTTCGTAATTTTTTCTTCGTATTTATGTATATAGTGACCCTTATAAGGAAATAGAATCAGTCGACATGTACTTCATAATGTTTAATGATAGGGAACTGAAAGTATTTTATCGTGATGAGGATGATTATTACGGGGCCATAACAACGCCCTTATATTTTGTTCTGTGAACGTACAAGGTTATACACCCACACGCTATACAAGAAATAGTAGTGTACTGTGCTGAGTATATCATGATTAATATAACTAGCCCTTATAAAGACTATACCATCATCGTTTTATATTCAATTTCAAAGTTGAAGTTCTTGTTAATTCTATTGTCATCATCATTATCGTCGTTATTATAATCAGTACAATAATAATTATTATTAATGGTAATGGTAATGGTAGTGGTAGTAGTAGTAGTAGTGGTAGTAGTAGTAGTAGTAGTAGTAGTAGTAGTAGTAGTAGTAGTAGTAGTAGTAGTAGTAGTAGTAGTAGTAGTAATAGTAGTAGTAGTAATGTTAGTAGTAGTAGTATTGTTGTTGTTGGTGGTGGCAGTGTTATTCATAATCAATTCAGTAACTCAGTGAATATGAAAAAGATATGGAGTTACGAAAACCTATATGAATATAAACCTCATTCTTATTGTGAATGTAATCTAATCAATTATCTCTGTTTTTCTTTCTTTCAGTCCCTCATATTTCTAGCTCATCAGTCACAAACAATCCAACATGATGTCACCTGATAGTGACGTGGTGTCACCTGATACGGACGTGGTCTCACGTGATACTGACGTGGTGGTGTCACCTAATACTGACATGGTGTCACCTGACACTGACACGGGGTCATCTGATAATCAGGGACCCATCGTGGTTCACGAAGGGGCTCTCAATCTCAAATCTCGTATTATGTTCTGCACGAGATGGAAGTCGAAATACGTCAAAGTGCGAGCAGATACCAGACAGCTAGCTATCTACGACAAAAAGGTTAGACTGCTTGTCTTATGAAAGGAAGCAAAATGTACTTGTATAGTCCAAAGTTGTATGAAAATGTAAATAATTATATTATATTCAAATGGAAACGGACCCCTAACCAAACCCTGAATTGAATTAATATCCCATCCCATCCCATCAGAGAATTCACTGGTAATACAAAGTTTTTGGGTCATGAATGAACATATTGGAAGCATATGCGATCCTACATTATTCAGTGATCGTTGTCGCGTTCGAAATCGAGTCGAAGGTGTTGAAATTATAAATAATAAACGATTTATGTTGTATAGCTACCTCTCTAAATTGATATTACTTTAGGCTTCAAAACAATGTTTCTTGTCTAAAACCGACCGATTTTCTATTCCCGTTTGGGAATTATATATTAGGGCCCCGTCTTATAAAGAATTGATATCATTCGCAAGTATTTACATAAGAGATAGGAGACTGTAAACTTGCGATTGATTAGAGGGCTTACGATTGATTTTGATCAATCGTAACATTACTCTTTATAAGACGGGGCCCAGAACTGCATATTCCGAGATTTTCATGGTCGCAGCTACCATTGTATGGCCGTAGGCGCTATTTGAAATTCATCGGGAGCACCGATACATTTAATATTCAATTTCTCGTAAGCAGATGTTTTAGGGGCTAGTTTTTAGTGGTTATAATACATCCACATGTGCATCAAAATATATCAACATTTTAAAGAATAACCAACCAATTTTCCAAAACTTTGCATTACCTTTAAAGTAAAGAACATTTTGCTTATCCAGCATAAGGCACCTCCCCGCCCCCTCTGTTTGAATGTTAAGACAACAGATTGATGCAATTACAGTTCTTTCTTTAAAAGTGAAGCGAGTGAATGAGTGGTATGAGGGTATTGAGGGTATCTATGAGTAAAAAAGAAGGGAAAGTTATTCCACCTCTCCCGATTGAGAGTGTATGGCACAAACAGATCAAATGCAATATATGAAAGAGCGCCATCTATTGAGTGATTATATATTTTTTTCTATGCCCTCTCATTTATATTCTGTTTCGTGTAAGAGCTTTTTGTTCGTAATTTACACCAATTATGCACTATTTTCAGATCTTGTTCCCAATAACTAAAATCGCAAGCTGTCAATTATCCCAAGGCTAACGCGCATGCTCATTGGCAATCGGTATGCTGCCCCTACGTTGAAGGGGGGGGGGGGGGGCTGGGGAGGTGATATAATTATTATTACGCTTTGGGGTTATACATTCTTTGTGTAAAATGCTATCTTGAGATCTCATGTGAAAACTAACATTTCAGAAACCGTCCTAATGGTGGTGGGGGGGGGGGGGGGTTGAAATTCACCCCCTTCACCTTCACCCTTGAATCATGCTTTTAAAATAATCACATAATAAAGTGTCAGATATGGATGATTCCGTATGAGAAACAAAAGAAAATTATTCAAGTCTAATTAAATTATAAGGGGATAGAGAGAGAGAGAGGGGGGGGGGGGGAGAGACAGACAGACAGACAGAGATACAGACAGAGAGATACAGACAGAGAGATACAGAGAAAAATAGCGAGAGAAATACAGACAGTGAGACACGGACAGAAAGAGAAAGACAGAATGGGGGGGGGGGGGGGGGAGTGGGGTGGAGCGCGCGCCCAAGTAGGCTACCTCAGAGAAAGACGGTAAAGCATGACATTGGACACTGCTTTAGAAGAAAGTAAACAAACAAAATCATTTCTTCAATCTTATATAATGATAGCAAGAATATTGATGAATAATGGATATGTTAATAATCATTCTTTGTTTATGTCGAGTGATGTGTGTATTACGCACGCCCTCAATTGATCGTATCTTTCTCTGTCTCTCTGTCCTGCTCGAATCAAGGTATCCGCTACCTCCACAGGCAAGCGAGGGGAGTGTCTCCTCATTCAGCTCAAGCAGGTTGTCGAATGCAGAGCAGCTGTGACCAGCAAGAAACGGAATAGCTTTCTCATCCAGAAGACCCCCAATGCTGGAGCTAATCGACAGGTAAGCAATACTAAACCTTCAAATCATATCATTATGTTATCAAGGAGATATGAGATTGTGAATTCTACGTTGGTGGGATGCGCAGTCGAATGCGGACCCTTATTTCGTAGGTTCTATTGTTGTGGAGATGCGAACGTTCGGCCTTCAATCGCAGACATCATCATCATCATTCTCGCTTTCTCTGTCTCTTCCTAATCTCTCCTTTCATCTCTCTGTGTCTCTATCTTTCTTTCTGTCTGTCTGTCTCTGTTTGTCTCTCTCTCTCTCTGTCTCTCTCTGTCTGTCTTTGTCTTTCTGTCTCACTTCCCCCTCTCTCGATCTATTTTTCTCTTTCCCATCGTCGCCTATCTTCCCCTTCCCCTCTCTCTGTCTCTCTGTCTCTCTCTCTCTGTCTCTCTCTCTCTCTGTCTCTCTCTCCTTGTCTCTCTATCTCTGTCTCTCTCTTTTCCCTGATCCCTCTATCTCCCTTTATTTCTCTTTTTCCATCCCTCTCTTTCTACCTCTCCCCTTAACATGCATGTATCTCACTCTCCCTCTCTATTAACCCTATTTCCACCCCCTTTCCAAATTCCCCTTAGCTTATTCCCATCTCCCTCTCTATGTTTACCACGCCATGCATTACGACCCTCCCTCTCTTTGTGTCTCCCTTTGTCGCACAGAGTGAGCGAGAATGAGTAGTGATTGTGGGTTGATAGCTGCGTGCACGGGATGGTGCGCCATGGTAACGGGTTATAATGAGATGACGACTGCCCATGTTTAGGATTATATGCGCGTGTTGACCGTACAGTCATTTTCAAGTGTATTGCCGCATAATCATCATACCCAATGTGCTTTAGGCAAGTGCTATATTGGTTTACGATAATGAAGATATTTAGATGATCTTTTCAGTGAATTCAAAGCAAATTTTGATATGTACGATAATAATTATGTCCAAAGTACGATCGTGGCTTATAATAAGCTATTTTGATTATGTTGACCGTACACATCTTCGAGTGTATTGCCGCATAATCGTAGTATACTCAATGTGCTTTAGGCAAGTGGTACCATGCTATATTGGTTTACGAATTACGATCATGAAGATATTTAGATAATATTTTCAGTGAATTTAAAGCTTATTCTAAAATGTACGATAAAATTTATGTCCAATTGAAAGTACCATCGTGGTTCATAATAAACTATGCTGACTGATAAACGAGGGCACAACGTTAAGGGCAAGGAATTATACTTCAATAAACAAGCATGATTATACTAATAATAGCCATAATTATACAGTACTAGCTTATCTTTTTTTGATTGATATTTGACCGAAGCATATTTCGACATTACCATATCGAAACATAAAGTGATATTTTTTTAAATTACATAATATTTCATGAAGCCAAATGGATGTAATCAAGACTTGATAATTACATCAGTTATTATTTTGCTATATCACAATCGTATATTAATTTGTATACAAAAATACATGTTTGTGAGTGCATTAGTGAATATGCACTGCACGCAGGTTAAGTCACAGTAGGATAATGAACGAGACTGGTCGAGTTCATTGTCCGTCTCATTATGACTTAACCAAGTGCAGTGCATATCACTAATGCACCAGCTAAAACATGTGTTATCATATTGTTTTATAAGCTGCGTCTACAATATGAGTCTAAAGTCAAGAAATGGACGGTTGTTATCACCAAAATGCACTCCCCGTGCATATTATGGTAAAAATGAATGCACGCACATGTGATACATTTCGACGCCTCTCATTGGCTACATTCTTGAACTGAAATTATAATATTTAACATTGTTAATATTTTAATTCTGGAACACTAGACTGCAGCCATATCTAATGTGAATACGCACTTTGTATCTTCTTTATCGTTAACATTATATTATATATATTTTAACGCACCATTTTATAGTTATATAATTATGAAAACAGTCATAATGCATAACGTATTAAAAAAAAATCTGGATAGTGCATAACGTATTATGATTGCTTATTTAATTTATTACAGCTCTGTGATGTTTGATGCTGTATTCGGTTTAAATCGGTTATGCACAATTTTGAACCGTAATTGGTACATTTTGATTCAACTAATGCCAAATAATTTGCAATGCCATGAAATTTACCCAAAACGAAATTACACGCAAACTTAAACTTTGAAGACAATAGGGAAAATCCCCACAACTACCAGTTCACTTAAAGGTAAAGACCAGTTATGGTCATGCGATTGCATTGTGAAATAAACGTTGTGGAATCGATCAGAAAAGGTTGATCATCTAGCATCTAGCATCTGCAAGGTTCTGGAATCATCAAAATGATAAGAAATTTGGCCCATTCTTCGTAAAGTTACAAGCGCTATACACAGAAAGATGTATATGGGACTACCCTATATCTCTCACAGACCATGAGAGAAACAAATTTACCAAATATATGAATTAGTAGGCGGTTTCCCGGCAAATTTTTTTATCATCATGTATTAGTCAAAACATATTCTTTCACATGATTGGTAATGAGAGCTTCCATTTCATTTTTTGAAATTGGGGCGTTTCCAATACTGGTCTTTACCTTTAACCTGTTCAATTTTTTTTTGCGATAGGATGTTCCCAATAGACCTCCCATTGTTTTAAGTTACTTATATTGTGATGTACGTTGAGTGCGTCCAAATTCCACTTTGATTTCCAAATTTTTGACAGGCAAAAAAATGTAAGCAAGATTTCCCTTACATCATTTTGATGACATGCGATATTTATTAGTTCCTGTGGTTTAAGCGATGTCGGTTTATGAAAGAGGAAGTCGAAAGAGTTTTATTTATTTATAATTATGTTTGTTCCTCATCATTACGATAAGGCGTAGATAATTATAGTCAATATTGTCAGAAAGAGATTAATGCCGATTTAGACCTAACTGTTCCTGAATGATAAGAAAATAAACTGAATCAACAGAAAGCATAATTAAACCCTGTAGTGTTGCTAAGAAGAAGTTTGATCAATTTGTTCCAGATATGTCATGGGCTGAACTACCAATGAATTCCTGCATTTAATGTTTGCACAAAACATGATAAGCTGAGAAATAGCAGAATGGATATGATAATTTCCAATCTTTTACTATATGGTCCTATGTATTCTGTCAGAGGTTAAACTTCTATTCTTATACACAATATATTTTTCTAAATCCATGTTTAATTTGATTGTTCGTAGAATGTCTTTTTTAAACTCACGCTGACTTTCCAAATGATTTAAAAACTAGCCAAACGTTTGTATCTATGCAGCAGAGTTTTTCTCAAGGAAAAAAGAAATATCCATGAGAACATCCATGAGCTGTTTTGCGCCTTCACACTCGTCATTAAATATTAATTGTTGAAGTGGAAGTGTCGGAGTATAGTGGTTCGTTCACCCGAGTCTCAGTCCCCAGCCTGACACCAATGTCTTGAGGCAAGACATTAATCCACATTTTCCATCCTCTACCAAGGTGTAAATGAGTACTTGCCAATTGCTTATATAGGGTAATACTTATTGCAGAGCACAAAGGGAGAGCATTATTCATAGTGATGTGGCTACCCTGGGTAAATAAGACGCTATTATTATTTAAAAAGATATAATAAAGATATTGGTTATATACCAGGTTAGAAGGCCAGTACTTTAATTGGTGTAAAATATGGTTCCCTGTCGGAAAAAGAAATAGATTAGTAACTGTACAAGATATTTTTATATTCCTTCCTTCCTTCCTCTTTCCATAGCACACTCCGAATCCATTTATTTTCTGCTTGAATCCAACTAATCTTTTGAACAATCTTTCAGGATCGGATCCAGGCTTGCCATAAAGGGGTGGGGTGGGGGAAGGGAGTGTGTAGGGGGGGGGGGCTATAGAATAAACGAATTCCATTTGGTTTGTTACCTTTCACTTTTGTTTTGTTATGTCGACCCCACTACAGACTTATCGTGCATTGTTTTTATATTATATTTCATGATGTATTCATTTTGTTTTTGTTTTTGAGAAGGAAATAAACGTTTATTGAACTGAATTGATTTTGTTATGATGGCTTTTAAATGAGGCGTGGCGGGAGGGGGTAGCGGTTAGCCGTTTTGATCCCTTGAACCCGCCTGTCTCATTTACTTATGTTCAGAATATTTTAATGTCTTTGATTTATCATACTTTTCATTTCATATTTCAGATCATATTTGGCTGTGTGAATCCAGCTGATCGGGACCGGTGGGTCCACGTCATTAATGACGTCATGAATGGGACCATCAGCGGCCAATCAGCGGTGAGTTTATTTAGGCTGGCAGACAGCACGTCCATACATGGTGCGATCGATATGAAAGAAATTATGAGTCAGTCAGTATGTTCACTCATGTATTAAACGCGCGAAAACCCCTTTCTAATAGATAACCATACATTAGCAGACAGAGCGTGGAAAATGCAGAAATTAATCTCATATTTTAATGAAATCTTTGTATATAGAATGAAAGGAGCAGATGGAATATTTTTTTCATTTTTCATGAACGCCTAATTTTTTTAAAGCACGGTATCGTCTCATGCAGACACAAAGTAATTTCGGTTGAATCTTAAGCTTAAAATTGATTTATTTTCGTAGTGCTTACATAATTATGGATGGATATTTTCTATTCTGCAAACATATAAAGAGAAATTTTATATTGCTGTTTCATGTAAATTGACCCCCTCTCTTTCCCCTCCCCTCTTCCCCCTCTCCCTTGTTAACAAACATTCTGCATACCGACATTAAATTTTGCTTCTCACATGCTTATTGTGAAGAGCCGCAACTTTTATGTAGAAAAACAAGCCGTATGAAATTGACTTTTACTTTTCTTTCCCATTGATACTAAGAGTCATTCTGTCGTGTTTCTTGTACCTTCCAGTAATATTTTAATTTGGTTTTCGTAATAGTTATGTTTATTATTCGGTCTGTGATCATCAGCATTACCCATAAACCGCCATGATGCCATTGCCTGCAGGGGCGGATCCGCGACTGCAGATCAAAGGAACGGCTCAAAATTAAACCCATAAATTTCGTGGACAAATCAATTATGAGAAAAAAAGGGGACTAGCTCAGTCGGGTTGTAGTTGTTGGGAGACACTTTTCAAGCCTAAGCTATTTTAGTAGGGGGGGGGGGGGAGGTGTCCCGTAGGCCCACCGAGACCCCCTGTTTATCAATGCTAATCAAGTCTGGGGGAAGGGGAATTTATTAGCGTCTTGCTATTCTGTTTCTTGAACAACACGGAGTTATGCGTACTTTTCTGCAATCGTTGATGGTGAATTCGTAATTGATATTCAAGCGTACTTTCCGAATTTTTCTGAGAAAACTGATATTTCAATGACCCTAGCTCTAAAGCTTTTCAAGCTATATAAATGGGGTCAAAGACGGAGCCTCGGTTATTGATCTCTATTATTCATGGTCGATATCTTCACCATCCAGAGTTCTATTTAAAAACATGTCTTCATCTCTCATTCTATCTTCATCTCTCATCCTGTCTCCATCTCTCATTCTATCTTCATCTCTCATCCTATCTCCATCTCTCATCCTATCTTCATCTCTCATTCTATCTTCATCTCTCATCCTATCTTCATCTCTCATCCTATCTTCATCTCTCATACTATCTTCATCTCTCATCCTATCTCCATCTCTCATTCTATCTTCATCTTTCATTCTATTTCCATCTCTCATCCTATCTCCATCTCTCATTCTATCTTCATCTCTCATTCTATCTTCATCTCTCATTCTATCTCCATCTCTCATTCTATCTTCATCTCACATTCTATCTTCATCTATCATTCTATCTTCATCTCTCATCCTATCTTCATCTCACATTCTATCTTCATCTCTCATTCTATCTTCATCTCTCATCCTATCTTCATCTCTCATTCTATCTTCATCTCTCATTCTATCTTCATCTCTCATTCTATCTTCATCTCTCATTCTATCTCCATCTCTCATTCTATCTTTATCTCTCATTCTATCTTCATCTCTCATTCTATCTTCATCTCTCATTCTATCTTCATCTCTCATCCTATCTCCATCTCTCATTCTATCTTCATCTCTCATTCTATCTTCATCTCTCAGTCTATCTTCATCTCTCATCCTATCTTCATCTCTCATCCTATCTTCATCTCTCATTCTATCTCCATCTCTCATTCTATCTCCATCTCTCATTCTATCTCCATCTCTCATTCTATCTCCATCTCTCATCCTATCTTCATCCCTCATCCTATCTTCATCTCTCATCCTCAATGTTTTCAGTGATTTATTTTTTACCCGAAATATACTCCCTATACCCCTGACGTCATGCATGGACTCCTTATAGAAGGTGTACCGCGGCAGCTGATACACCATGTAGACGGGATGCGGAAAATGGGATGGAAATGGGATGGGTAATGGCTTCTCGGGAATAAGATAATTATCATAAAATACACTATATTTTAGATGGAAATTCAGATTCAGCCCATGAAGAAATATAACACAATTTGTATAACATGCAGCCTAATTTCATGTCTACATGACCATTATAGCTAAACGGGTAGCATAGGTCACCACCATTTTGATATAGTGAAATCTTAGACTCATGAGTCATAGATAAGCAAACAGCAGTCGGAGTCCATTATTGGATTATAAGGTTTGTCCTGTTTGTACACACTCATCTCTGCTTATGAGCAAAGAACCTATACTTCACAATATCATATCATTTAGCAGATAAGACCTGTATGTAGTAGAATATTTGTAGAATATTCAAATAATGTATAGAGAATAAAACGATATATCATGATGCTTCCAGCTCGCAGATTCCATGTAAAACAAAAATGCGAAGATTATAACATTGCGCACCAAGGGAGAGGATACCAATGAAATAACCCCAGATTACCTATTTCTAACAAATATCTACAGGGGCTCTTTTCATTAATTTGTGAAGAAAAAGAGAAGTCCCAAAAGATACACAGAGAGAGAGAGAGAGAGATAGATAGAGAGAGAGAGAGAGAGAGAGAGAGAGAGAGAGGCAAAAACATAAATAAAACAGTGGCTATCATAGCTCCGAGCCCCGTATACTTTGTGCATGTTTAGTACTGACATGAATATGCTGTATGACGTGTTGTTATCTCACAATTTGAACGCATGACTTCCCACATATCCAACGAAAAATTGAGAGATCAATTTTCAGGCCTTCATTCGTCGACAATTTTACGGACCACGATATTCGATGATTGAATACTTATGTGATAGTATCCGCGATATGTATACTTGGGGAACATTTTTTAGTATACAAATTGGCTAGCGATGTCAACATTTAGGAGTGCTTTACATAGGGGCACATCAGTAAACCTTTTATATGAACTTTCTTGAAACGCTAAAAATATAGGATTTTTGTTTAATAATGAATAATTGAAGTTCCTTGAAAGGAGCGTTTAAAATCTACAATTTTCATTTTCGGGTCAAATACATGTAGTCGGTAAATATTTATTGTTTAAAATCTTGATATTTTTCTGCAAAGTGCAAAGTGCACATTTTCAGTTTCATTTTCAAATTCTCAAACAAATCTTGTATGGTTTTATTTGCTAAACATCGATCATATCATATACGCTTATACATGGCAGTTTGAGCTTCGAAAGGAAAAGCACAGGGCTTCACATTTTTAAAGAGGCAATTTTAAATATGGGAAGAAATCTAATAAAACTCATTCCCGATATTTTTTATCAATATCCGAGCAGCCGACACTTATTAGTATTCAGGCATCCGCCATCTCATCTTCGGGCAGTGATTTTTTAAAGATTCATTTAAAATTAACCTATCTTATTCAACTCATTTTGATGACAAAATTACATTTACACGCAAAGAAAGTGTCAACATGCTTTTTTCTTTCTCGCTTTCCTCGCTTGCAAAAAGTTGGTGTGTTGGTAAGAGGCGTCAGCCCCTGGAGAAATAGTGTCAGTAGTACGAACCTATATGAATGGTATGATATGAATTCTAACGTGTGATGATTATCATGTGACGAATAAATCTAATCAAATAATCATCTTAATAATAATATATTTGTATTTATCTATATTTTGTTACAGTTTGATGAGGTGGTAGTGTCATCAAGCGCCCTCACTCATCTTGTGAAGGGCAGGCCCAAGAACCCTGGTCGACGCCCACCAGGACACAGAGCTAGAGCATTGGTAAATCACTATCATATCCATCTTGATATTATAGTTAACAAAAAACCATGCACTGAGAGGCTCTTGTTGAAATTATGGATCGAGGTGGCAGGAATAGCACTATTTATGTCGCCGAGGAATCCATAATTTGACTAGTGGCTTGAAATAGTGCATGATATATTTGTTTTATATTTTTCAAACCAACCTTCATAAAAATAATAATAATAATTTCTGTCACCGAGGAATCGATGCATATCTATGACGTCATCCATGTTATAGTGCACTATACCATGGATGACGTCACGGTATAGCACATTTTTCTTATCGGTAACATAGCAATGTTATGTTTAGTCAGATGATGCTATCAATCACCGAACAGGATTTCATTATATGATATATTCTATTCTCCTATAAATAGTACTTTCATTCAGGAAACCACCAGTTGATTTAAGTTACTATATATACCTTTTTACAAGGCTAGCCTGGAATGAAAGTAAATCCTGAAAGTTGTAAGAAAAATAATCCACCTGTACAGTGAAAATTATTCTTAAATTTTAATAAAGATGTTAAGTATATTCTATTCATACGTTGGTACTTGACTATGGATAACTCTAAAAGCAGAGGTATCATCAAAAATAGAACAGTGACTCAATGGAATTCTCCAAATCGAAAGTCTTGTTGACATAATGCAATGATTTTCAACTCTTGTTATCACGAGTTAAGTAGTTATGTTGCTTCCTTCCTCGTATAGAGAATAAAAACATGGGTTTATTAAAATCAATCAGTGTGCTTCGGATAACTAATTTGTGGTACCAGTGCAAAGTTTCACCCCTTAATTACTCTATGAAAACCAACAATTAGGGGGAAATGAATGTATTACTTTGAAAGCTCATCAAATACCTGCAGTAATGTGCCAGTGTCAGAGGCATTCGATCCTTTAAAGGTACTATGTCCCATTTGCAGGCCAAAAAAATGAAAAAGTTAAATTCCAACTGCATTTGAAAGATAATACTAATTTAGAGCTTACCTAAAAAAGGTGGGGCTTGAAAATGTCTTCAAGTGGGAAAATAACGACTATTAGTTGTCAAATCGACTTTAGGGCTATAGAGCCCAAAATTAATAGTCTTGATTTTCAGACAATTGTACCGAATGGTCATATGTTTTATGCTGCGCAAAGATTCACTCAGTTTAATCTTGGCCATCACAAAAAGTGGGTTATTGATGTAGACAAATGCTCATGTACCCTTTACAACTCTTTTTATGTATGTTATTACCAAAGAAGAAAAAAAGCCAGTCAGTCACCCAATAGTGTCTGACAGTGAAGTCTAGCAAGTAAACGGGTTTCCTTGCATAATTTGAATATGAGGACACTGCCAACGTTTAAATTTCACAGATAGGACATACATGACATATTCATAATTCCTGCAAAGTTCTACAGAATTTGAGGTTGGCTGCAAAAGGGACATAGTACCTTTAAGCGGAATCATGTCTAGTAACCCCAGACTGTGTTTCCATAGCGTTATGAGGAAGTATATATAACGGAAGATAGTAGTGTTTTATTCTGAGCAAATAAATATAAGATTAATTCACCGACTTGGCATGGGTAGGCAGGGAACCTAGTCAATGATAACATCAACAGGAAATACATATAAGTCATTGTACCATGTTAATAACTAGAGTAGATGTGTCGTGGTCTAGTGGCTACGTCGCCGGACTGTGGATCACAGTGTTCGCGGTTCGATCAAGTCACGCCACGGCACTAACGTCCTTTAGAAAGACATGAGATATTATACAAATATGCACTGTCTTGAAACTACGGGCAGGAGGTGACTCCAAAAGTACTAGCTGCTGAGGGACGTAGCCCCGAAGCAAATGGTATTATTGGAGTCACCGAGGACCAAAGTTATAACCAGTACCTTGAGAAGAAGGCAGGGTATATTTGTTTTATATCAAAAATCAAAAAAAAATATTTTTCCAATTTTTTTTAATTTTTTTAATTTTATCATTTAAAGATTTTTTAATCACATTTTTACATTTTAAATTTTAATAAGATTTAACAAATAATTTTTTTAATCAAAAATAAGTTTAAACCAAAATTTAACATCATTATTATTATTGTTATTACTCTTGTTATTCCTATTACTTTTCTGCTTCTTCTTCTTCTTCTTTATTATTATGATAATTATTATTACTCTCATCATTACTATTATTATTAATGTTATTATCCACAGCACTATGATTATTAACTGGAGTATGGTTATTTCACATTGTAGATCTCGTCACCAACCAGTGAGATCAGTAGCTTCGGAGACGATGCGGACTCGGGGGTCGGGGCATCATCAGAACTACTGGCTACACATAGCACGGTGAGAGGTTTGAACCATGGTGATGGGGCTAGTGGTGGTGGTGGTGGTGATGATGTTGAGGAGGAGAAGGATAAGAAGGAGGAGGAGAAGGAGGAGGAAGGAATGGATGATGAGGAGGAGGGAGAAGAGGAGGAGAAGGAGGTGTGACGAAGAAGGAGGAGAAGGAGGAGGAGGAGATGGTGGAGTGTATGATGGAGAAGAAGAATGCTGTTTATGGCGGTGATGATGATGATGATGGTGATGATGATGGGGATAATGATGATGATGATGATGATGCTGAGAAGGAGAAGGAGGACGAGGAAGAGAAAGAAGAGGAAAGTGATGAGGATGAGGATGGTAATGAAGAAGAAGATGAAGAAGAGATAGTGTAGGAAGAGGAGGGGGAGAGGAAAAGGAGAAGGAGAAGAAGAAGGAGGGAGAGGGAAATATAAGAAGGAGGAGGAGGAGGAGGAGGAGAATGATAGCGATGTAGATATTGATATAACAAATTTAATGATTGTTGCAGGAAAGATTTCATCAAATGAATTGAAGCATAGTTACTTACACACAACGAACTCTTGTTTATTTTAAAAATTCTAGTGTGACTCTTTTTAGTCTGTTCTACAGAGATAATTAAACTGATTTGTCTTTATATCTTCATGTGTTACAGGTGCACAAACTGGATGGGGAATTGGTTGATGACGTCATCGAGCAATCTCCTACGTCAGAGGAGTGTGCAGATCGAGCAGTAAGTAACGAATGTCTGGCGGACGTAGAGGAGGAGGAGAGTACTAAACCCAAGAATGACAAGGTCTCCTCTCTCCAGAGGGTCAAGAAGCCGAAGAAGACTGAGCCAAAGGCCACAAAGCAGGATAAGACTGAGGCAAAGGCCACAAAACAGGAGAAGTCTGAGGCAAAGGCCACAAAACAGGAGAAGAATGTTTCATTCTTCAGTCGTCTAGGCTCCCGCATCTCCCGCGCTCTGAGTAGGAGTCAATCCACGGACGAGTCCATTGAACAAACAAAGAATATTGAACAACATACAGGGTCTCAGAAAGAAGATGGTCCAGATCAAGAGAGGGAGATTGAGGAGATTCGAGAAGAAGTGATAGAAGAAGTCAACTTAAGTCCTTCCCGTGATACGTTCTACGCCATGCCAACAGGTACTAAGTCAGGTCATGATAAGGTCATTATGGAGCTTGCAGCCATCGCACAGAATGCCAAGCTTGTTGCTGCTAAAGCTGAAGCTCTCAAGTCAGCTCGTCTCCAAGGTGAGAGCGACTCAAGCGGTGAAGAATCCTCTGGTACGAATAAGACTTTGTCTCGACGTGACTCGGAGAAGAACATCGAACAGGCAGCAGAGAATCTAAGAACCACTCTCAAAAACCTGAGCGAAGCTGAACAATTCGAGATTGAGAAACCCGACGGTGACAAACCAGAGACACACAAAGAGGTGACTAAACCAGCTACCGCTATGAAGAAGAAGATGAACGTATCAGTCATTAGTGAAATGGAAGGTTTCTTTGCAAAGTCTAATAAAGGTAATCAGAAACGCAAAGAGAGCGGTGAGAAAACTCCAGATACGAAGAGCATAGATGAAGAGAAGAAAGAAATTTGTGCAGTTCAGGAGAAAGATGAAACCTCGAACGGGACGGTGAACGATGACAGTCTTGATGCGACCAAGGAAAAGGAAGAAGACGAGAAGAAGGATGATGATATGGAGGATGAACCTGAGAAAGAGAAATCAAAGACTGATGAGCCCAGTGAGGTGAAAGTAACGCAGGAAAATAAGAAGGAGGATGAGGGAAAGAAGGAAGATGAAAGTAAGGAAGAAGAGGAGAGAAAGAAAGAAGAAACTGATAAAAACGTCAGCCAAGATACTAAACAAGTTAAACCTGAGGAAGATGACGATGATAAGGTCAAAATAAATGGAAACCTAAGCGACGATGACAAAACAACGGACTAATTACAATGCTTTCTTCACTTATATGCACTTGCAATGATATACAAGGTGAACGCACTTAATTTCTTGCCAAAATAATATCGATCACAAGAAAATATTATTAATTCTTACAAGGAAAGGTTGGGTGATTTCTTAACAATCGTAATTGCCGCACCCGCCTAAAATCAAAAGTTAATATTTTGCTGCATGAACAATTATGGTTATGCATGTGTTTGCAATGAACTCACACTAAGTACAACTCTAAAGCTTCTGACAGTAATATTTGATAATGATTCGTTAATATATATATCTTCTCTTTTTTCAAGTAACTGTAGGTCCAAGAATAATTGCCTTGATGATGACTAAAAATATGTGCAAACTTGATTATAATTAAGAGTAAATAGAAAAGTATCATTATTCTTCCAATTTATCTGTATATTGTGCTATGTTTTATATAATCTCTCAGTTGATGAAAGGGTTCTCAAACTAATATTTTTATTCATCGTTTAAGTGCCAATTACAGGAGAACACAATGTCTTCAACTGTTAAAAGTATTTCCGAGGTCTCTTAAATGCTTAATCAAAACAATTAACCAAAATGTTAGAAGTACACATGAATATACCTTGATAATAATTTATTGTAAATAATGATACAGTATTGGGTTTGAGGATTTCCCTTCAGTTCTTAGTGTACTTATTACGACATTACTAACACATTTCGCCTGGCATGTACAAATACATTTTCTTCCTTAGCATGAACTCATGGATGAGATTAGTCGTATACCATGTCGTGTAGACTTGGTAATTACAGTAATGTAAGTCTTGAAACATTTTCATCTCGGTCATTTAATTTATTGTTAAAAATGTGACTGGGAAGGGCGTAGCGTGGGGGCACCGGTCTTCCTAGCTCTTTCAAAAATTGATGTTAGCCCGACCCAGGCTGGATTTACGTCGGGACAAAGTACGCTAAGGTCCACTTTGACGATTGTATTTCTGTAATTCTCTCTTGATTAATTAATTCACACAATCACACGCCTTGTGCGTACTCAGTAGCGAATACGTGTGAAAAATGAAACCAATTTTCTTGTATTAATTGATTAAAAATGCAGTCTGATAGCTTTTTATCTTGCCATTCGTATCACAACATGATTGTTCTTAGTAGTAATTGAAACTTGTTGATTCCAAATCGACAGAATGCTGCTTTTTAAAAAGATATAATTTAAAGCTATATCGAAATAGATATATGTTATGTATGAAGTAAAGTAAATTGTGCATGACATCGGTTACACTTCGACTCCAGGTTGCATGGTAATCCGTTATAGATTAGAGACAACTATTATAATTTATATATTTATAGGCACGTTGCTATGTCAGTACTGTGAAGGGTATTCCTATGTCGGTATATTCTTGTATACAATGAATGATAAAGTGTTGTTCTCTTTTATATTTATGTCAGTATTCTGTGCATTATTATCGTTTTATTTTATCGTACTTATTATCTTGTTATTTGATTATGCATTTTAGTTTATAATATCCTGTAGTTAGTGAATACGTTATTATACTTTTGTAGATAATCATATACCATGCAGTGTGAATTCTGTTATCATGTGCATAGATCGCCAAACATAATGGATAGAACTCAAATGATCTACTCCATGCAATCGAACAGTCTTGCCGTTGAAAGATTCATACTAAACAGCAATCAGAATCGCTATTGATTTTGTCCATTGTAAATTGATTTCAGCTATATGCTCTTGCCGAATGAAATGATAGTTTTCAAGAACTCACAAACTCTGCATGGAATATGGGTTATTTCCTTCCTCATTTACTCCATCACTAGTACACGTTAAGTATTTTTCTTTCAAATAGTTTGCCATACTTTTTTTGCCTTCATATTTGTAAATTCATGGTTGTAATTTGGACGAACACGGAATTGAGTGTGATGTCCTTGCATGTTATGTAATGATTGCAGCATTGTCATAGTTACATGGTATCGTGCTGTATCGGTTAGTCTATGAAAAGAAAAGAGTGAATTTCCACTCCTTTTTTTTCCCTCCTTCGGGATTCACGTCAGTGATCACTTGATTAGGAGTGAATATCGTTTTATTATAGAGTGCTCTCTAAAAAGAGTGAATTTTCACTCTATTTTCACTACATTTTCACTCTCCAGAGAAGTCATGTCAGTGATCAGTAGACTTTTTTGGAGAGCAGTGAATGATTGTCTCTTTGGGGCCAGAAGGGAATTAACTCCGAGTTAAACAATTACAGTATGTGAGTTAAAGCATTAACTCTGAGTTAAACAGTGAAAGTATTGGAGTTAGAGCATTAACTCCGAGTTATGCAGTTAAAGTAAACGAGTTAAAGCGTTAACTCCGAGTTATGCAGTTAAAGTATATGAGTTAAAGCATTAACTCTGAGTTAAACAGTTGAAGAAATATGAGTTAAAGCATTAACTCTGAGTTAAATAGTTACATGAGTTAAAGTATGTACTACGAATTAAACAGTTAAAGTAGGCCTATTAGTTAAAGCATTAACTCCGAGTTAAAGTAGGTCTATTAGTTAAAGCATTAACTCCGAGTTAAAGTAGGCCTATTAGTTAAAGCATTAACTCCGAGTTAAAGTAGGCCTATAAAACCTTTCTGGCTCCAAACAGACGATATAAACACTTAAAGTTTTAATGTTGATTATTTGGTGCTTTGGCAGACTTCGCCGAACATTTTCATTCAGTTAAACAACAAGCATGATACATTGCATGGATGACATGGAAGCTCGTTTAAAATTATTGTACTAAAATCAAAAAGACAAGTGATGTATTATCTTTTTTAAATATTCAAACGTCGATTTGTTTTTTTCAATAAAAGGAACACATTTCAGTCACTGAAACGTCATTGTCTAATCTTGTTTTGTTTCATCTGTATTTGAAATGATGGGATTGTTAGATCGCAAATAGAATCGGTCGAATGCAGAGGTTTGATCTTTCCCCGTTTAGTCGCTATCAATAGTCTACGGTTGCTAAAAGTTCTCTTGAATGTAACGTTCCCTGGGACTTAAAGATAAAGTTGAGTTCTGGTCATGTGATTGCATTGTGAAAGAAAGGGTGTGGAATCTATCAGAAAAGGTTGATCATCTATTATATAAGTATTCGTGTGTATTGCAAGGTTCTGGAATCATCAAAATGATAAGAAATTTGGCCAAATCTTGGCAAAGTTACAAGCACTGTACACATAATAATGTATATGGGACTACACGAGCACATGGTGAAAAAACCTACCCCCCGATTTTTACGATGTTTCATGTCATATTTAGAATATGAAGGCATTTGAAGAGCCATGCTTTTCAGGGAACATGTTTAATCTGATGTTCTTCCACCCTTGCATAATAACAATGATAACGCTCACAAATTATTTTTTACCTCTTCCCAGAACTCAACCTTCTCTTTAATTCCCCCCATAAAATAAATCGCTGTCCATGCGTGCAACAGAAGCTCATCGGAGCCCCCCCCCTCCTCCACTCCCCTCCCCCCAAAAAATATTCTCGAACCGAGCCTCCAGACCGAGTTTGTTCAGACCCTGCACTGTCAAAAACACTCCGCGCTTCCTGATACAAGATAGTAATAGGCCTGCTTAATATATTTATGTTAGGATTAGTTCGTGTGTGGATGGGTTGATTTCGAAACTACCAATATTTAAACAAAGGCAACACATAATTATGTGGCCAGTATTTTGGGGCATTGAGGTGCTCTTTTTAAATTTATCATAATTTTTCAAGATTTATTTTCATCATTAATAAAGTGTAAAACGTATTTTGGGCAAGGGATGTCTGCTCACACTTCCCCACGGCCACCACACCGAACGTGTGCTATGGGTATCTTTTTTTATCTTCCTCTTTCTTACCCCTCCCCCTCTCCCAACCAAAGCTCATGTCTAATTGTCTCTCTCTCTCTCTTCCAACCCAAACTTATGTCTGAGAGTCTCTCTCTCTCTCTCTCCCTCCATCTTCTCCCAACCAAAGCTTATGTACATGCGAGTCCCCCCCCCCCCTCTCTCTCTCTCTCTCTCCCTCTTCCAACCCAAACTTATGTCTGTGAGTCTCTCTCCCTCCCCCTCTCTTAAAAACTTATGTCTGTGAGTCTCTCTCTCTCTCTCCCTCCCTCCTCCACTCTCTCCCTCTCCCAACCCCTACCATTCAGCCAACATGACACAAGTATTAACAAACAATATATGCCTTGCTCATTGAAAGGTGATTTATTTCAATGTAATTATCCAACACGATTACTTATTATGAATCACTTCTCTATCATTATCAAGCCTAATTCATTCATACAACTTATTATTATTATTATTATTTTCTTGGTAAACATTATAATTAAATAAGTTCGATTCACATAAGATCGATTCACATTTGATGTGGAAGTGCCTATTAATACGAGTACTGTTGCTTAATCCTTCAATAAGTTTTTTCATCAATCCCACTTTTTGATTTCAAATGATTTCTTAGTCAGCAATAGTCTAATATAGTTATGAAAAACAAAACAAAACTACAATATATATAATATGTACTGTATTAAGTATAGTTTGTAAACAACAAATTGTGTCCTCTATAGTAACCAGATATAACAGTACTGTGAGATATATATAAATTGGTACTTTTCATGAGTACATCGTAAAAATGAAATTCTGCACTGAATAACGAGGGAATGTCAACCGAAGAACTTGCAAAGCAAAGTCCCTTAAGCTGTTTGCAATTTGAATACTATTCAATTTAAGTTTTAGCCTCATCTATTCATCTTAGTTCAATATGAAGGCCGATGTCTTGCTTGAAATGTTGCCTCACACTTTGCGTATACAGTGCAATAGACATGGTTTTCAGAATAGATGCTTAAATCTACATAAAAATGTTATCTTCCAAACCACTGTGTACTAAACCAAATTAAACTCTATCTTACAGTATACCCTCCTTGCGACTGTGACTTCTATATATGCTATAAGGACTATCGTAATTACTTTTCTCTATACAGCTTTTTTCTGTTTAAAACTAAAATGAAAAACAAAAACAACCTAAATGAATGACAGAAAATCTAGAACATAATAATTTACACTGCATGAAAATGTATAGCAATGAAACACATGATACTAAACTTCTGTAAAATACTCACATGAAATTGGACATAAAATATAAGCATTGATATGGTAAATGAGGAATCTTAATAATACACCTATTTTTTTGGTTATATTTTCATTCATATACAGTATACTTCTAAAAAATTAATTTCTTTTTTATGAACCCTAAAATATACAAATCAGCTTAGCCAATGCAAAACTATTAAAAGGAAAATAATCTAGCATTGATATAAAAGTATATGCTTTTGCTACTAAAGAAAACACAAAATTGATTTCAATCATACATATACATTGGCTATTCTTGGTTTAGCAATTTTAAATACAAAATAGTAAGCTCTGAATACCTTTTTCAAAAGATTGTAAAAAACGCAATATCCTTGTCTTCTGAATGGAATACAATCAGTAGGTCTACATTTCAAATCAACCTGTAGCCTATATCATTTAAGTACATGCGTGTCAGTCAAAGACATTGCTCATTCATTAACTAAATTTAGTTCCCGTTCCGTTCACGATTGTTAATGCTATGTGTCTATCCCAACACTTCCATCACAAGTTAACCAAATCGGTCATGCTTTGCCTTATCTCATACCTGCTTTAAATCATCTTCCCCTTCTACCTTCTCCTCTTTTCCACCATGTTACATAATGGGAAGATGTCTGATGATCACATGACTTAAAAACCACATGACTTGCAATCACATGACTAGTGATCACATGACTGGTGGTCACATGACTAGTGATCACATGACTTGTACACACAAGACTTTTCTCCTATTCCTCAATACAGTTTCCTTGATGATAATTTAAGTACCGTACACAAAGCAGTTGAACAAGTTAAATAGTAGCATAGACGTGTCGGATGATTCCAAACAAAGCAAAGATTACATGCATGAAAACAGAAGGCGAGAAGAATTTAAAAGCTCTTTAACCCAAACTTCAAAACAGCACCATAGATTATTCACATATCATACCAAAATCTGAACCATCAGTTTTTAAAATCAATAATCTTCTTCATGAGTTTCCTTCTAAAGGTTGCTGTACGACAGAGTGCCATGAAATACATAGTATATATATACAACAAAATGATATGCTTACTCGTTTTGCATGAATGCAGTTATTTGTACAAACTCAAAATGCTAGCCTCATAGCTGCATGTAATATAGGAGCTTTACAAGCATATGGCCAAGGCACTCGGTTTTTATCAACCATAATTATAAAATGCCATTCAAAATGATAAGCTCTTTATATATTCACACAGCTTAAGCTCTACAATCGATGCATCATCGACTCTTTTCTGCAATATTAGCAACAAACTTTGTTTATATATCTCTTTTTAACAGGCAACAATGAATGAATTCTCACCACATTAATCAGTGGAATGTGTTTATATAGAGAGAAACATAGCTCATTGCTATTTCTCTAGTTTTGGATGACAACATACAGCTTTGGTTTTGGGTTTGTATTTAACGGCTACCATGGTTACGTAGGTATACCCATTCCCAGGTCTAATGTGAATAGTGCAGATATATTGCAATTTACCATGTTAGATAATATTATCCTTTTTGATTAAATATTAAACCTTCTTTCAACCATGATCCTATATTTGAAAAACCAATGACATTTTAAATCTATACAGCATCATATTAATATACCATACCCATTTATTAGGTATGCTTCTAGTCATTTTATCGCTCAATTATTTCAGCCATTCAAAAGTCTAATACTAACCATCATACATACATGACATTGTATCAAGTGTTTTGCATGACAAGCTTGCTTCAAATATTTATAATGTCAACGATTTGTGGAAGGTGAATATAATACACATACATATATTCTACTGTGAGTAATCTTCATTTCAAATATAATTTGCTGTTCATCACAACATGCATAACCTCACCTGACATTTACACGTTTTTTTTTTGGAAGGGTATCAAATATTGACTTGTAAAAAGGTTGTATGATTACATCCATTAGGTGAGGGATGTGTAAGTACTCATGATACTGGTTTCTTATTAAATAGATCCATCTTGAGATGTTTTAAAAAGGATATTTGCTAGTTGATTAATCACTTCATTGTCTTCTTGCAAACCAGGATCGATGCGTTTATTAGAACCAGAATCGATGTGTTTATTAGATCCAGTATCAATGGTTTATTAGAACCAGGATCAATGTGTTTATTAGAACCAGAATCGATGTGTTTATTAGAACCGGAATCGATGTGTTTATAAGGTCCAGAATCGATGTGTTTATTAGAACCAGAATCGATGTGTTTATTAGATCAAGAATCAATGTGTTTATTAGGACCAGAATCGATGTGTTTATTAGATTACTTCCATGCCAATGCTGTGCTGCTACATCCTGAGTACTATCTGAATAAAATGAAGAAGGAGAAACAGAGGAACTCTGGTTATTATCCCTCAAATAGGATGTTAAATGGAGGCCCCGTAAAGGAGAGTCACCACCTTTGCACGTTAAAAACCCACTGCACTATTTGTATAAGAGATAGGGGAAACCCCGGTGTAGTGGTCCACCTGCACACCCCTAATCAATCATACCGGGAGGAGAGACCAGAGGGTTACAGTGATTCAGTATGCTTTTCAACTCCCAGGCACAGGTGACGCTAAATACATAATAATCAACAGGCCATATCAACAAAGGTTGGACTCAAATTTTATCAAATTATCAAAAACTAGTCTGTAGGAATAATGATATTCTGGGTTTTTACAGCACTTATTGATTGGCGATGTATATTTCAAGCCCAAATTCTGTAACAAATCTATTAAAAAACGAATGTTTAAATTTAGATTTCCAATCGTAAATATCTTGATAATCAGACAGGCGATCGGCTTGTAAAAGTCATGAGGTTCCTGACTGACCTAAAGGTTTATAATTATCATTGCAGCATGAGCTAAATCCAGGATTTTGTTTCAGAATCTGAGACTTCTGGCTCTGTACAGACCAATTACAATCGACTTACTTTGATTAACGTTGATTGTTTAGATGTTCTCAAAGACATCAATACGTTGCCTGGTGTTACCAGATCGGATGTTCCTCAGAGTCTGGTACTTATCACGGCCAGCTCGGACATTGTTTATATGGATCACGTCATTCTGGGTCATCTTCTTGGTATCCTTCAAGGCTTTCAGCTCCTCTTCAAGATCCTACAATAAACAAAAATATTGATTGGAGACTTGAATTGAGCCCACCACACACTATACGATCTGACTACCATTGTCTTCAAGATCCTACAATAAAAAATATCAATGTAGACTGAAGCCCACCACGCACTATATGATCTGACTACCATTTGATTGAGGAACTATACCATCTGTCTTCAAGATCCTACAACAAAAAAATATCAATGAAGACTTGATCCCACCACACACTATACGATCTGATAGCATTTCATATGAACATTCAAACTTCTAAATTCTTAATGATTAATGATTTGAATAGTCATGATTAATAAATTTCAAAATGCATAGAGTACCAAACAAAGCTGTGACATCATAAAAATCTATTTTTAGAATTTCTCAATTTGAACTTCATTTTCCAAAAGAGCATCAAAAAAACTTTCCTTCATCACAAAAAAAGAAAGACACAACATTAAACAAGCGAGTTAAAGGGGCACTAGAATAATTACCTGCAATTGGTTTTGAAGATTCCTCTTGCCCTGGTAGGCATCTCTCATTTCTTCATTGCGATCGTTCTGAATAGGTTCGTTGGTGAACTCGTGCTCTCCACCTTGATCTTCATCGTCCTTCTCATCAGTAGGGATCTCAGCAGCAGCAGCAGCCTCAGCCACGGCCTGAGACGCAGCAACCGCTGCGGCTTCCTGGGCCTCGAGGAACTCCATCTGCATACGCTCTTTCTCCTCCTCAGCTAACCTCAACTACAAAGACAAATAAGATCAACAAATTATAAACAACGTTCCTTCTCCTCAGCTAACCTCAACTATAAAGACAAACAAATTCATTGTATTAAAAAGAACGTTCCTTCTCCTCCTCAGCTAACCTCAACTACAAAGACAAACAAACTCGTTATATTACAAAGAATGCTTCTTCTCCTCCTCAGCTAAGCTCAACTAAAAAGACAAACAGTTATTATATTAAAGGCATTGTTTAACAATGTTTCCAGTTTTACAAATCTGAGATGCATGGCCCTACGTGTTATCAATGTCTTTGATATGGTGTAATATAGAAGCCCTACAAAAATTGTGCTTCAAAAAAGTAAAAATCTTTGAGTGACACACAAATATGTGGCATAAAAATGTGGTCCTTATTTTCAAGCTGTTACATGTCATATTTCGAATATGAAAGCATTCGAAGAGCCATGCTTTTCAGGAAACATTTTTTTCTCTGATGTTCTTCCATACTTGCATAATAACAATGATTACGATCACAAATTATTTGTCACCTCTCCCCAGAACTCAACCTCAACCACTGTACTACTTGTAGCTACTTGCTCCCTCTATATAGAAAATTTCCCCAATCGGTGCCTGTTGGTCCCCCATGATCCTCTTTTTCTTCTGTTAATTGACAGCTGAGTTGATGAGATAACCACCTGCCAGTTGACCACGCTGGGTGGTCTAATCCCTCCTGGCCAAACTAGTACAGATGGGCTTTAAGACATGAAAGATTACCTTCTCTTGTAAATCAGCCTGTTGACTCTCTGCATCCTCTCTACTCATAGCCAAACGTTCCTTCTCTTCAGCCAGCTCCTCCAACTTCATGGCCATCTCTTCTTTCTCATGAGCGGTCATCTCTTTCTGGGCCGTAGCTTGACCGATCTCCTGTTCCAATTCAGCCATCTTGCGCTGAGCCTCTTCACTCTCCATCTGACTCCTTCTGGTCGCCTCTGCCAGGGCTGCTGCTTCCGCTTCCTTAACTTGCATCTCTGCAATTCAAACACAAACACAAAAACACTTTTATGGGGCGTTGCAAGAAAGCTGCAATCAATTGCAAATCCCCAAAATAAAGCGTAAGTCTTGCAATTAATTGCAAATTTGCAATTGATCGCAACTCAACTTTCTTGCAACGCCCCATTAAGGGAGAGAGGGAGAATAAAAGCTAGATCTAGTTAACTGAATTTAATTGTTAAAACTTAAATCCTAACAAAATCCTAGAAAATTTAGGAGATTAGTGCCTAGTGGGGCATTGTAAAAATGTAAGAAAGTTGAGTTGCAATTGATTGCAAATATCAGTTGCAAATTGTGCAACCAATTTTGTACCCAAGCGTGACATCATACTGGCAAAGTTCTCAAGGTTGCTGCTTCTAAACAATGTTGCGCTAAAGAATTACACCAGCCCCAAACACCAAATTAGCCCTGCTTCACCTTTGCTTCAATGGTTTCAAGGTGAACCTCATGCGTCTAGGTTTGTTTTAGAACCTAGAAGAGGGAATATGACATGAGCACTTCGATACTCTAGGAGTACAGATTTTGTAATCAAAGAGGTCTTAAATCATCAATAAACAGCACAATCAACGTTAGCAGTGTCCTCATATTCAAATAAGTAAACAGGAGGTGTTTCACAAAGATTTGAAGTCAAACTTAACCCTAAGTTGGACTTTTATTATGGAGAGCCATTTGTAGCCGTAAAATAAAATATATTCAAATGAAATATTCAAATGAAAAATTCAAGTATTTTAGACTTTTCATAAATTACACATCATGAACATAAGATCTCCTTGATAATAGAAAATATGAATGATTTGAATTAACATTTTATGCCTTATAAATAACTTCTACAAAATTTTCAAAGATGCTAACAGCTTTCCATAATTTTTAAGTCTAACTTAGAGATAAGTTCAACTTAGGATCTTTGTGAAACACCCCACGTCCATTGTTCTCAATTAAGAATCAATGACATTGAGCTGACCTTCTCTATTTTTCCTTGCCATATCCTCCATCTCCTGCATCTTCTGTTCTAACATTCTCGCTGTCTTCTCTGCCTCCTCTCTCTTCTTCATCTCAACAGCTAGCTGTTCCCTAGAAAAAGAAAAAACACAGTGGATAACAAAATAATTAGAAGCGTGTAAATTCAAACCTTATGCTTATAATGGATTAAAACAGATCCTTTTCCATGATTCCAAAACTTTTAAATTCAGTATCGATTGAACGCATTATTAAATTCATTGTATGGCATCTTTGGTTGACGTATAGTTTGCTTTGCCAGGCAATAACGTCTTCTTGAATGAAACCAGTTTCGGCAATGTACCTGCAGAAACACATTGTAACTTGTTACTAGATAATGTTGCTGTGTGTCACATATTTTACCCGGCGACATAAGGGTCGATAAAATTTCTACGAAGCCTCCAGTACAAAACTGTAAACACATGAATGCTAAATTGATAATCATAACGATAGTGTTAAAATGATGCATGCATCTATTGTATAGAGAAAGAGAGTGATAAGATGCATATCCAGCCGCAACAAGAGCCAGATAGATCGTATCATGAACGAATGAAGACATGAATCATGTATTTTGTACAACAAAACTCCTAGATCCTGGTTCTTTGATTAACTGAGTCATTTTAAGACTGGCCCATGTCATCTCGATGTCAAATAGATACCAAGTTTAGTAGGCTTACTGTACCCACACAAGGAGTACGAGTGCACTCACCTCTACACGGTTTCATGCGCAGTGCTATAGCCAAAAAATAATAGCGCATCTCATACTTAAATTTTGTTCATAGTATTGGAAACCATAACACGCTTTTAGATGGAAAAAACATGGGGCAGTCTCAATAAATGGATCACACATTTCTGCGTTCAACAAATCCTTTGGTTAGGATCTAGGAGTGAGTTGAATAAAATGAAAGAGATCTTCCCAGCACTGTACATATATATCTGCACAACCTCAAAGTTTGAAGCAACATGGTGGCCTGTACTTAAACAGAAGAAGAAGAAGAAATAAAGGATGACATATCTTACTTTTCTGCTCTCTTGGAAGCCTTGTCGTCTCTAGCCTGTGCTTTCATCTGCTGGACCTCAATGGTGTCTGGTTTACGTCTGCGCATGTAGAGCTCATGGTTACCCATGCAGAGGGCAAGGATTCGCTTGTTGATTCGCAACCGAGAAGCATAGAACACAAAGTCCTGTAAAATCAAAATAATACACAATGGTAAAGCCTCTTTAGACTAAAGGGAATCTATACGAAACTCATATAAAGAATCATTGTATAGCAAGAGGGGCGTTTGGACTAGGCAACAACATCGTATAAGGGTAATTCCATAAATTAGGGACCCACTTTGTGACATGTTTGGTGTCCCTGTTACATAAGGAAACCCACGTATTTGTGGCTCTGAGTAAAGACTTGAATAGTGGAGTGAGATGGTAAAGTGATTTCCAAGCATAATATTGCATCCTCATACTTATAAATCACTTTTAACAATCATAATCCACTATTTCAGTCTATACTCAGAGCCACAAACATGTGTGGGTTCCTTATGTAACAGGGACATGTCACAAAGTGGGTCACTCATTTATGGAAATACCCATTAAGAAAGGAGTGTCATTATGTCTGAAATTCAATAACCCCTTGTAAGAAGGAAATGCTGACTTTAATAAATGATAATGAAAGGCACTAGTGAAGAAAGCTAATACTGAATGTCCCAGAGTGCTTGGTGTTTTCAGTCACACAGTAGGAAGTGAATGAAGCAAGCATCTATGAATTATTATACGCAGAAGAGAAATCTGTCTAAGCCACCAAGTATAAGGCTCGACAGTCAACGTTTCTGCATTAACCATACATTATGGTCTTTATTCTAAGTTTGTCCACAAACTAAAATTTCAATGTAAAATTGAGAGATGGACAGAGCATGAATTCCCTTGTGGCTGGGCTCCAGGGCTTGCTAAAGTATAACACTCAACATCGAAACACAAAAAACTAAATCCGCTTTACCAAAGTTTCTAAAATGTTACAGTCAAACCTGTCTACAGCGACCGCCCAAGGGAAACACAAAAAGTGGTCTTTGTAAACAGGTTCCTTTACCCAGTACACACTATGAACATGACAGACAAAGAAAGCGGACAAAATATACAGTTCCTCAGGTAGACAAAGGAACATCCCTTCACTGCTATTATGTAAAAAGGTGAATATGCATGTGACACCTGTTCTACACATTTTTACATAATAGCAGTGAAGGGATGTTCCTTTGTCTACCTGAGGAACTGTGTATTTTGTCAGCTTTCTTTGTCAGTCATATTCATAGTGACAGAACACATATCTCATGTTTAACCAAGTATCAGTGTACTTACAGGAGCTTTCTTCTCGATGGGCTTGATGACGAACTTCTTGTCGTTGAATGAGATGTTACGGATTTCACTCCACGGGAACCCAATCTTCGGTGTCAATCTGTGGTAATACAATAGACACACATACATTATTACACTCAACGATCAATGCCAATGTGTGTGAATACAATACAAAACTAGAAGCGATATAAAAGATTACTCAAATTTAACTATTAACTTGCTCTAAAGGAACGGCGAGGCTGTACCTTCAACAGCAAGGGGATAACATTGTTTACGTCTGCCTTGAAAACTATTCTTTGGATCAAGTCATCCTTTCCCACTACTTTCCAAATGTTCCTTCCATAAATCTAAATCATATGTATAAGCTCAGATTCACTCATCAGCATTGGGATAGGCCTTCAGAAGGGGTGTCAGAGTGAGTTTCATCATAGCACATGTTTCTTTAAATCCTGTCTGTACTAGTTTGGCCAGGGGGGATTAGACCTCCTTGCAAGGTCACAGGCAGGTGGTTATCTCATCAAATAAGCTCTCAATTAACATAAGAAAAAGGGGAACATGGGGGACCAAGGTGTACCGCTTAGACATGGTTTGCTATATAGAGGGCGCAAGTAGCTATAAGTTGTGCAGACCTGCTTTAAACAGAAATATTCTCATCATTGAAAGGGAATTAACTTTGTAACTTTCTCATTCTTTTTCGAATTTAGTTCAAACTTTCACCAATCTGCTACTCTAAATTTTCTGCCTTCTTTCAATTTTTTTATTAAGTTTGGATTTCCTTTGACTTACTTGTCGTCCCTCTCATAAACATTCAATCCAAGGGCGTCGACTCCAAGCCACAGATCCGTTCCCTTCTTGTTCCTGATTTCAAAGTAATTGACTCCATACATCTCCAGATCTTGTGCAATCTTCATGTACTCAATCATTGCCTCTTCCCTAAGAGAGAGAAGGTGGAGGAAAAATTGTCAGTAGTTGAATAGTGGAGAACAGGGGGGGGGGGGGGGGGGTGTCACAAAGATCCTAAGTCGAACTTAACTCTTTAAGTTGGACTCAAACATTACGGAGAGCCATTTCTAGCCTTAAAATAAAATACATTCAAAACACAAATTCAAGTCTTTTCATAAATTCCACATCAAGAACATGAAATCTCCTTGATAAAAGAAAATATGAATGATTAATTCAAATTCAATTAAAAGATTTTATTTGTCATGCAAAACATAGTACAAGAATAACGATATCACAAAAAATATGCAATGAAACGACAAATATAATGGAAAAAGCACGAGAAAAGAGGAACTAACTTGAAGCAGAGCTTGTTGAAGTGTTAGTTCCTCAGATCATTAGAATCAACATTTTATGCCTTTTAAAAATAACTTTTACAAAATATTTTCAAAGATGGTAACGGCTTTCCATAATTGTTAAGTCCAACTTAAAGAGAAAAGTTCAACTTAGGAATCTTTGTGAAACGCCCCTCAGAAAGAGCAATGATGGTGCGAAGCTGTCCAATAGAAAGAACATACTGTAAGTGAGCTCATGGATAGGTTCAGTCTGGGCCCTGTTGCATATAACTTACCATTGATGGTAACTTTGCTATTAACGGTAACTTCCATGGAAACCTTGATTGGATTGGCTGTTGAGTGATGTTGTCATGGTAATTAATATTGATTGCATAGTTACCATCATGGTAAGTTTCATGCAATTATTGAATGTCCTAGAGTGCTTGGTGTTTTCAGGTACACATACGTAGTGAATGAAGCAAGCATCTATGAATCACTATACGCAGAAGAGAAATCTGTCTAAGCCACCAAGTATAAGGCTCGACAGTCAACGTTTCTGCACTAACAATACATTATTATCATCATTTTAGAATGCTTACATTGTCTAGGTATGTTATAGAGTGGTGAAGTGTGGCGTCATAAAAAATCTATTTTTAGAATTTCTCAATTTTTTCTTTAAAAAATGAAGAAAAAAATGGAGAAATTCTAAAAGTAGATTTTTATGGTGTCACAGCTTAGGTACTCTATTCTTTGATGATGAGTTCCTGGAAATTAAATAAATAAATAAAAATAAATTGACCGAGAAGAACTTACTTGAGCATTCCTTTGTGTTCCTTGTACCAATTTGAGACACGCTCATGCCACTGGTCCTTTGTCATTTGTGTTGTTCTGTCACTCTGAAATCACAATAAAAAACATAATTCATATTACAGAATTCCTTTACACAACAAGCAAAACATGAGATATTACATGACGTCACTGCTGGGTTCTGGATTCAGTGTTGTTTCATTTTTTGTTTAAATCGCCTAACAAAATAATTTGTGTACAGCCAGAATGTATCATACATGTACCACACACACACACACCAAAAAAGTTAACATGGCTTTCTATGGGCTAATGGATAAAGAGTATGAAGAAAATTAAGAATAACATGAACAGCAGACACGAAAGCCAAGCCATACTTGGATTTCCTGAGGGCCCTATTTATAATAGCGTGTTTGGTATAAGCAGAGATGCCAACCTCTTGACACACAAAAACAGACTGAGTATCCTAAAAAAATCAGATTTCAGCCCCGGGCCATTAAAATTTAATGAGAAAATTGTAAAGCAAAGTTTTTGTTGGGTTTGCGGGGGTTTACTTGTACATGTTTCTATGCGATTCCGGGGGGGGGGGGGGGGGGGGGGGGGGGGGGGGGGGGGGGTTTTTGTTTTGTGTTTGTGTGAAAAAAAAAGATGAAAAATCGTATATTTCAATCTTATTATCGAACTAAATATGATTTAATCGTACTGGTTGGCATCTCTGCATAAGTATGACAACATGGAACTACTAATCCAGCAAAAACAAGTTGTTTTGGCTATTGAACCACTTTGATACATATGGACAATTTAGATTGATTATCGCCACTTTAACCATTTATTTGTTACAAATTGAATCGTTGGACTATCACGTTGTTTGGATGATTGTTTCACACTAGTACGTGTGACAAAGGTCATCTGTGGTGGTATGCGGTCTGTTGCATTAGTCGCGGCTCAACACTCGACGTCGGGACACAACAATCTAAATCCTTTTCACCAAAGTTTCAAAAATTTTACAGTCAAACCTGTCTATACCGACCTCCAAAGGGAAACATAAAAAGTGGTCTTTATAGACAGGTTCCTTAGTACATGTTTCATTGAGAAACCATTTTCAAGGGAAACAAAAATGTGGTCTTTATAGACAGGTGGTCTTTGTACATGTAGACAGGTTCCTTCAGTACATGTTGCATTGAGAAACCATTTTCAGGGGAAAAAAATGTTGTCTTTCTAGACAGGTCACTTTAGAGCATGTTTCATTGAGAAACCATTTCAGGGGGGAAAATGTGGTCTTTGTAGACAGGTAACTTTAGTACATGTTTCATTGAGAAACCATTTTCAAGGGAAACAAAAAATGTGGTCTTGATTTTGATTGATTTTGATTTATTGGTTTCTGTATTTTTTTTTTTCCATCATACATTTTCATGAACATAATATGGTTTGATACAATATTTGAAGTAGTTTAAACATATTGTGGCTTACAACCAGGAAATAAGATCGATTGATCGATCTGTAATTGAAAAACAAGTCAGAAAAAATCTTGGAACCAGCGGGATTTGAACCTGCCATCTACTGCTTGCCAGGCAGCGACTCTACCACCAGGCCATCACTGGTCCATGGGACAGTCATGATGAACTAGAAACAAATACCCAAGCTCTCCTGATTCATTCTGACTTATTAATATTCATTAGTCCGCCATAGGACAATAACTTTTTATAAATGTAATACTTCCTGGGAGAAATTTCAATAGTTTAAACATATTTGTGGCTTACACCAGTAAATAAGATCGATTGATCGATCTGTAATTGAAAAACAAGTCAGAAAAAATCTTGGAACCAGAGGGATTTGAACCTGCCATCTACTGCTTGCAGGTCTGATTGTTTTTCAATTACAGATCGATCAATCGATCTTATTTACTGGGTGTAAGCCACAAATATGTTTAAACTATTGACATTTCTCCCAGGAAGCATTACATTTATAAAATATTTTAAGTGTATATAATTTTATACATATTATTACAAAATTAAACAAATATATTGAATGCATAAGTAACATACATTAGATGCAGGATGCAGGTGGCTGCTAAAGCAGGTTCAACTGTATATAGGACTCATGGATACAGACTCATTAAATGTGGACCCTCTTCCAAATAAGTTCATTTGGAACCCTGCATTAGTAAACCTAAACAAGCGAAGAGTGAACTTACCTCTTGGGTAGGATGTTGGAATCTTCGGTGAACTTGCACTTTGGATGGTCATAGTCACCGTGTTTAGCCTGTGCTGCGTAGGACGCAAGCAAGACTGATGTCTCGGGAGGACAGTAGACCTCGTCTGTCAAGATACCCTCCTTGACTTGCAGGAAAAAACAACCGCTGAGAACAAGAACAACAAGAAGGATCCAAGACTTTGAATTCATTGCAGATGGTATTAAAGACTGTCAATACTACTGGGCCAGAAGTGATTAGACCACCCAGCCAGGTGCTGACAGGTGGCTATCTCATCAACTCAGCTCTCAACTAACATAAGAAAAAGAGGATCATGGGGGACCAACAGGCACCGATTGGGGAAGTTTTCTATTGAGGGAGCAAGTTGCAAGAGGGAGCAAGTTGCAACAAGTAGCACAGTGGGGCTTTAAGCCGTTAAACCTGTCTATAGTGACTAAAAGTGGTCTTTGTAGACAGGTTCCTTTAGTTCATGTTTCAATGAGAACCATTTTCAGGGGAAACAAGAAATGTGGTCTTTGTAGACAGGATCCCTTAGTACATGTTTCAATGAGAAACCATTTTCAAGGGAAGCAAAGAATGTGGTCTTTGTAGACAGGTTCCTTTAGTTTGTGTATCAATGAGAAACCACTTTCTAGAGAAGCACAGAATGTGGTCTTTGTAGACAGGTGGTTACTAAAGCAGGTTTGACTGAACAAGGAAATAGCGATAACTTTAAGATCTTTACATAGTGTAATTCTTCAAAAGAAAACCTCAATAATGAGTTACTAGAAACATAATTGTGTCCTGATAAAGTCCAATTCATCTTCTTTCAACGGTACCAAATATGCGGATACTGTCTGGCATGCATGAATGAATCTGAGGGAATTTTAGTCATTGACGTCAAAAGAAGTTTGTGCACAGAAGTGAGGCATAATGAATCCTCTTTAAGTACAATGGAAAGATACAAAACAAATTATTTATATTGTTGGCTTAAAAAAGTTTTAGTTCAATGATTTCAGGATCTATCATCAAAATTAATATGTCATCAGAATGCGGATCAAATTTCCTTTGTTATGATGTATTGCAATAATTGAGGTTAGGTTAATTTTCCAAAGATGTTGCTGGCGGAATTTGGGTTTCCTTGAAAGAAAAAAAAACTCTGAATAACTTGCATAGCGACATCTACATGTATCTGGAATTTCAGAATGTAAAACTACTCTTTGAATAAGGAACTGAAGAGCCTGTAATTAAACCTTCAAGGTAGACATAGCGGAAAGTATATCCTTGACAGTTCATGCTTCATTAGCTAAACTTGTAGGAAATGTAGCTAGTGTACAACTGTACATGTATATCCAATAATTCTGTACAAACTACAAAGTGCAACTTTGTGAACTTTTATGTGAACTTTTATCATTATTGGCCTACTCGTACTTTAAGATCAAGCTCAAAATCATTATTCATTGTCCCTCCCACCTCAACAAAAACATACGGTGAACATTCTTTTACACACGCCTCCCCAGTTTTATGGAATTCACTTTCAGATTCCATGAGAAATCACAATAATTTAAACAAGTTAAAGGTTTCTCTTAAAACGTATTTATTCAATGTTAATAGTGTAGACCCATGAACTCAGCGTCCAACACTAGATGTACTTCTTTGCTTCGAAGTGGATTTTCTTATTTGTATGACTTTTTCTTGTAATTATTTCCTTTCTATTTAAAGAGCATAGGGACATGCTATCCTGTAATGTGTTATGCGATATAAAAGAACTGAGTATTATTTATTGTTTGTGAAAATGGTATTGAAATATTTTGTATATTTTGCTGCTTGTGGAAGCTATAGAGACTCACCTGTGTGACTTCTTGAATCAATTCTTCAGTGACTTCTTCTGGGTAGAATTTGACTCTGAATTTGAACTGTAGAGGGTTGTCTTTCCTCAGATCTTGTGCTACTACCTAATACAGGAAGAAAGGAGAAACAATATTTGAGCAAGGTCTTTACATGCTAACATTTTCTTACACATCCTGATTTTTGTATTAAAAATTGTTTTTCTCAAAAACAAGGCAAAAATGAAGATTTGGAAGGAAAGAGCAAACCTTCAAAAGGTGTTTGTAAAACAGTTTCCATTGATTAAAAGTAGTAGTTCCAAAAAACTTTTTAGGGTACTACCATAGATTTTTATGTAAAACATGAAACTTAAGTCATCTTCAGTTGGGTTAAAATTAAGTACGGTATTTCTCAAAAACATCACAAAAATCAAGATTTGGAAGGTTAGAACAAACTTTCAAAAGGTGTTAATAATCAATTTTCCATTGATTAAAAGTTGTTCCAAATGATTTTTGGAACTACTATATAGTTTTGTAGGTTAACCATGAAACTTTAGGTCATTTTCTTCAGTTGGGTTTCAAATTAAGCTTCAGTCTAATGTGTTTAAAATTTGTAGCACCATACTATCATGGTGCGAAAGAGGGAAAATGCTGAATTTCATAAATGATGATGAAAATCTGAATGTCCCAGAGTGCTTGGCGTTTTCAGTCACACAGTAGAAAGTGAATGAAGCAAGCATCTATGAATTACTATGCGCAGAAGAGAAATCTGTCTAAGCCACCAAGTATAAGGCTCGACAGTCAACGTTTCTGCACTAACAAATACATTAAGGCCTCTATTCTCAGGGTTCTCCACAAACTAAAATTCAAACATGTTAAATTGGAACATGGACAGAGAATGAAGTCATGTATGAGAAGCATGGATGATGATGAAATTCAATTACATGGTGTACTAAGTATTCATTTACAACATTGCCAATATCAGTTATAAAATATTAACTGGCAGATTCACGTAAAATAAACATTTGTGTTTAAATTGTGAAAGAATCTCACAGAGAGGATGACATAAATCTTCAACTTGTACATTGAAAGCAAGACAGAAAGAAAATTAGTGTCAAACCGTACATGCAACGTTTCATCAGAAATATGTGCAGATCTTTGACCATTTCCCCCCTCATTATTTGTAAGTTTGAACGAATAGCATTAGATACATGTACATGTATGAATGTTTAGAGCTTTTGGGCTCACTTTCAAGGGTATTTCTCCACACATGTACATGTGCTACTAGTGACAGTGAAGCTATGAACAATACTTACATGTACATGCATGTGCGCAATAGTCAACCTCACACCTCAACCCCCATTTTCATTATAAAATATGAATCTTTCTATACTAAGGAAGGAAGAGAGGAAAGAGAAGGAGAAGAAAAGAAGAAAGAAAAGAAGAAAGAAAAGAAAAGAAGAAAGAAAAGAAAATGAAGAAGAAGAAGAAGAAGAAACTAAAGAAACAAAAGTGGAAAAGGAAGAAGAAGAAACATAAGTAAAGAAAGAAAAAGAAGAAAACAAAGAAAAAGAAAAAGGAAGAAAAACAATAACAAAAGGAAAAGAAAAAGAAGAAAACAAAGAAGAAAAGGAAAAAGAATAGGAGGAAAAAGAAGAAGAAGAAGAAGAAGAAAAAGAAGAAGGGAAAGAAGAAGGGAAAGAAAAAGAAGAAGAAGAAGAAGAAGAAGAAGAAGAAGAAAAAGAAGAAGAAAAAGAAAAAGAAATTAAGAAAAAGAAAAAAATCAAGAAAAAGACAAAGAAGAAATAGAAGAAGAAGAAGAAGAAAAAGATATTAAAGAAAGGCTTCAAAAGTATCAAAATAAGAGACGGAAATAGATGTACATATTTCTACCATGACATCAAAGTCCTACAGTACAATACAATACATGGAGATGTGGAACTTACTGGAACTTACAAAAAATGTCAGTTATGGGGCATTTCCACAATGATGCATAGTAGTGCATACCTACATGTATGTGTGTACTGTAGATTAGAGTTGTCTGCTATTACCATACAGTTCAAGCATTACCATATAAGGTACAATACGACGCCGCGCAGGCAGAGAAGTAAACTCAAAGATCAAAGTCCATGAGTGAAGCATAACCTTCTACTATTGTATCGAGGAATGATGAATAAATAATGACATGCTTCAATGGGCTCTCTCTACAAGGGGAGGTAACCCAGATTTACAAGTGAAAGGCGGAAACACTATCAAAACTCATGCTCATATCATATTACACACAGGTATGTTATTTACACAGGTATGCATTCCGTCAATGTAAACCCATGTTGTGCATTGATATTCATACATGATACTTTTTAAGTACATGTAGATCAAACAAGTCACACACACACACAAAAAGTTGTGAAAATTATTTCCTCATCATCAGTGTACAACTGCACAGGGCTTTTTAGTCTTAAACTTACATGTAAAATTGTAAATGATATCGTAATTCGAAGATCATCATTTAATTAAAAGGCTTTATCAAAAATAAATTGCCTCAGCAAGATAACAGAACATTTCAACACTTTTTGTTGATATACTGACATCTTTTTGAAATTCGCACACCATTAAACATCTGATGGGCTAGGAATAATATGTACTGTAGGTCCTACTACAATGACAGTTTATCAGTTATTTTGTGCCCCTGTACATTGAAATACTGACAATGAGTTGAGGAAATGATAACATAAAGTCCTACAGTGCTTGTGTAATATTGCATTGCATAATTTAATATGTCATAATGCTGGGCACACCAGGCCATTGTAATCTGGTACAATTCCCTTTAAGCCATGTACTGTAAACTGTACATGTACTCATACGGCCCTACAAGTCTATACAGGGTCTACTACAAGTCTATCCATGGTGTACATGCCTGGACCTACTTCAGACAAGGTCCATGGTACAAGTATGCCTAACAGTATAGCCTAGGCCTACATCAATACTGGACATTCTGTTTGTGGACCTACCTACCAGACCCTCATCCAATCCCTCCTATTCAATCAAGTTGTGTACTGGTCAACATCATAAAAGACATAAAGAAGCAACTTTGTCCCCATGTGTAACTACTATAAAACAGCCGATAAACCAAAGCATACATGTACACAGTCTGATTTTCCTAGATTCGTTGCAAGTCTTTATGCAAGTCTTTGTAAAACACATCTATAAATAGATACTTATTATGCCACAGCAAATTGATCCCTATTCTCTGATCATGATTTTTCGAAAATGAAGAGGAAGTTCCATGTTATTGATATCTTTTCTGTACATACACTATAGGAATGCTATTGAGTAAATTTCAACACAAATTTTGTTGAATTCCAAGTTCATTTGTACATTCACTTCTAAGGCTAAACTGACTAAGGAGAAATGCAGGTATGCCAACCTTTACATTCAGCTTTCAGGGAGGTTTCTTTCAATTGCATACAGCATAATAGGAATAATCTTTCAAAAAATTAGGAAGGCATTAACATTTGTGTGGAGTGACGTCTCAATTTTTTTTCTTCTCAGTGAGCCTGAAAATCAGGAAGGGTTGGCGTCCCTGGAAATGTCATCATATTTGAAGTGCCCTTATTGTTGTAAGAACACTTAAACATTTTTGTTATTGAGAGGCAAATCAGTTTTTACTCATAAATTGCTATAGGCCTACTGTGAATGAGTGAAGCCCAAGAATGAAAACTGTTGTGGTAATGCCATATGGATCATTGATCACAATCAAAGCAGACCACAGATAAAACTACATACATGTAGAGGTACATGTACATGTACATGTATTGTACAACCTACATGTACATGTATTTTAAACTTTGATTTAGAATTTCAAAATTCAAGTACAATGTATAAGTTACATACATATTGTTCGGACTATGATATCAAGTACACATTCACTTAATAATATACATTCACAGAATAGTCTCACAGTGCAGACACTTTTATGCATAGCGGCTGACATGGGCGATGCCTGCAAACTACACAATGAGTAGCAGTGATTTTTTTTTTTTTTTTTGGGGGGGGGGGGGGGGGGGGGTTTCAATCCAATTTTCGGGGGCTTCTTTTTTAGGGGGTACTTTTTCATTAATTCATTATAGGATACAGTTTGTTGAGATTATTTGGTAGGCTTACTGGGCTGAGTAGCCTGCAATATGCTCCCTTATTACACTGTACCAGTAGTAGTACTAGTAGTGACTAGTGACTGCCCAATTTGTGAAGAATGCAGACACCCCACCGACTGGTTAACGCTGGGGGGGGGGGGGGGGGGGGGGTCAAAGGTCATAATCACTCCCACTTCTCAGCCCGAGATGAACAAAAAGCATGTAGTGAAGTCTATGGTATAATACTATTTCATAGTCTAGGAGATGAAAATGGACAACAAAAACTCTGAAACACTAGGGGGTAGCTCCCCTGACTTATTTATAACAAGTGAGTCAGAGCTGAATTCTTGTCCATCTCAAATAACTACCGGTAGGCCTAACAAAAAAACTTCTTCCTTATAATTACACCACTAACTAAAATAATGAAATAAAATGAAACAAAAAAATAAATCTAGCTTAAAACTAAAAACAAAACAAGTAAAAGCAAACAAACTATATAACAACACACAAAACAAAATAAAAGTTGGAAGACCAGCCCATAATTGTTTGTTAATAAAATAAGAAAATAGTGGAAATAGATACCGGTAGGTGAAATCAACTTTCAACTATTTCCTAGAGTTAGAAATTTGTGTTAGATCAATCACACAAATTTAAGCAAAGCTCTTCGTAACTTTTCGATTACATTCCCTAACATTCCCTGAACTTTATGAGATTCTGTCATATCTAATTAATGCAGGGGTGGAGAACTACCCCTTTAATCAATTATCTGAAGTTACGGGAGTCTTGGAATCGACACTGCTAGGTCTATTACAAGAAGTCCACTATGGCCATGGAATGGAACTTCTTACTATAACTGAGTCCTTTGTCCTGGCTCTCTGAATACCAGACAGTGTGAAGACTGAAGAACTAACAAATGATGCCATCTGGAACTGTTACGTTCACACGACTGACAAGAAAGTCCGTTCACCCTAAGTTTAGGTCATGGTTTTACAATTT